GGTGGTCGCTTGTTTGACGGTGGAAGTGAAGCATATTTTGTCAAACTGCAACCTAGCTCTTAACAGATACACCTGGAGACACAACGAGGTGTTGAAAGTGCTCACGTGATGGCTCTAGGCCTAAGTCAAGTGTTGTATTGAGTTCATGCATTCACTTCGAAGCAGCCCTTTCTCAACCCTTCGCATGATGCTCTGGGAGTTTGTGACAATAATGAGATGAGTAGTTTTTGGTCTTGTATTTTGAAGCCAGGCAAGCGCTCTTGTTACGGCCTCAATCTCCATTTTCATGCTTGAAGTTGTTCTTTCTGTGGTCCCTGACATGCCATGAACCTTTTTGTTCCCCCTGTACACCACAAAACCCTACCCATTTCTCTCACCCCTCCTGATCGATCCATCCGTAAAGATCACTGGGTTCTCATCTAGCTTTGAATGCTCCTCAATTAACTGTCGTATACAGTCCGTGCCGGCTTTATTAAGCACGTCGGCATAAAGCACGTTTCGGACTCAAGCACGCTAAACGGCTCTTACCAACTTTTTGCAGTATGAATTACTCGCCTTTAAGCACGATAACTTCGGCTTCTGGCACGCTTCATTTACAAGACAGTCAATTCTTTCATGAAGACCCATCGAAGTTCGAACACAGTCTACACCGCAGCAGTGGAGTGTGTTAAGAGAAACACAAAGAATGGAAGTGATGGAGACACACACTCGCACGGGCGGAGAGGAAGGCAGAGAGATGCACACAGCCGCGCTCGTGGACATACGATCTAGCCTAGGACAAAGCTACACACATACAAAAAAATATAAAGAGAGTCGGGGATACAAGAAAGGGAGACTGGCAGCGGTTTCACCTGAGACCCTCGATATCCATTAATCCTGATTATGTATTACACGCGAAGTGGGATGAAGGCAGTTTTATGGATGTGGCGCAGCGGGCAGTGATTGTAGTGATACACACAGGCAGTGTGTAGGCCTAGTGTGCTGTACTGTATCGTGACTGGCCGTCTAAATAAAGAAAAATAAAACAAACAAACAAAAACTATCATGGCGAGTAAAAATGCCAGCGCACACTTGTGCGCGACCACGACTTACTACAAACAAAGAGAATAACTCAGGAACTGTTCTACATGAAAATCTGCGGATTGTCTACTTCGCATTCAAGCACGCTTCGGCATTAAGCACACTTATGCTTTCTCCCGATGACCGTGCTTAAAGCCGGCATGGACTGTATCATTGTCGTTAATGACAGCAGCACATTCCCATCTGTAACGACCCACAGTGATGTGAACGTTGGCCAGGCTTCTGCAGTTGGTTTTTTTTCCTTTTTTTTCTATCTCGACACTGTGCTTATTGAACACATGTTATGGGAACCTCTGGTGTTAAAAAAGTGTCCACTTTTAAAGAGATAAGATTTCTAGTAATGTTTTATATAGGGCCTAACAAGTTTTGCAACCAAAGAGCGTCCTTGGGGAGCTGTGACGCAGGCCATAATTATGCGTATGCAAAATGTGTGTAAGAAGCAGGAAGTGCAGTGACTGAACAATCCCAATTCCGTGTGACGGAGATTTAAAGTATTTTATATAGATTTATGAAGAACAGTTTTTGACTCTATTCTCAGTCATTGTGGAAAAATATGAACACAAACTGCTGTGCAAAGAACAGAAGACATACACGGATGATTCCCCTGTAAAAGAAATGTTTGAGGTTAAGTTGCGCCATGAAATTTTGACCGCGCGCGCACTATCGTGAGATACTTTATCAATTATTTGGCGGATCATCATACAACACGAGTTCAGGTTTTGTTTTCAATCACAATTCAATGATGCCACCTCGAATGAGAAGTTTTATTACTTGTTCTTAATGTCGGAAGCCTTAATAATATTATGGTTTAAGTTTAAGGTAGACCTATCTTTGAATTTTGCCAGGCTCATAATTTTGTGCGACCTGCTGAATATGATGACTCAGTTATACAGTCGGCCTTTTTACAAATCCATGATTATGTACTCGTGCGATACTTTGAGAGAAAAAAATAGCAAACAACAGATTCAATAAGATAATATATTAGGCCTAGACAAGGAGATTAAAAGTAAGTTCTAAACTCAATTGGGCCTAGACTAATAACCATTACTGTTCATTACATTATAATATAATATTTTACTATAGACTACTTTTTTTTTATCCGTCCCATTTGTGAAAAGAGCTAGATCTAGATCAAATTCAGTTTCTTTTCTCGGCCAATGCTAGACAAAACTTTGAAAAAGCTGTTTGAGAACATGCCATTCAAAGCAAAGTTTTAGTTTCAACATATTTGTATTCTTTTCAACTTGTTCATCTGTGTCACGTAAATTGTGCCGTATCATTCCGTGCCGTATGTCCGCGTGAGTGAGTCACAATCACTACTTTTACTTTTGGTCGCAAATCTATACTACCAAATAGGACAAATGTTATGACAACATGGGCTATAAAACTAAATATTTTTCGATTTTCGAAAAGGGAAAAAAAGCAAAATGTTTTAGCTCTTTCATTAAAACCAGTCTGTTTATGTCCACTTTTTACTTTAGGGAGGAGATGTTTGATTATTCTGCTTTAACAATGCATTTTTTGTTTCGAAAAAGACCCCCTCTACAAGAAGCAATGGGGCACAATGTATTTCAATATTAAACGTGCCGAAAATCCTGCCAGAGTCAATAGTCAGCCAGCAGCAGTCTCGTTTTGTCTCGTTGTGCTGCGGTCCATGCGAGGCTTGCTGTTTTAGACGGACAACATAACAAACACAGCAAAATGGTGAGTTGCCATGGTCATTGTCCAAAAGTTATAACATTTTCTTCGTTGTGTTCCTTCTTTCATTTGGACGTCAATGTAATTATACGGTGGCAGTTTTAATGGATCACCGGGTTCATAGAAATTGACACAAGAAAGTATTTAGTTTGAAAGTCTTCCCTTTGTGTGATGAAGTAACCAGTTTTCGACATGGTCAAGATCGAAACTCAAGTGACCCCAAATTATTTGTTCAAAACGGGTCCAAACAAAATCCCGAACCTTTAATGTCCTATGAATCTTAGTTTTGTTTCACAGAAACATAGTTTTTGGTCTTTGTTGATTATAGAGCGAGAAGTTTATGCCGGCTTTTGTTAACTTTATTGGGAGGAATTAATCAGAACTGTGCTCATTTTTCCGGGTAATCATAGGCTTTTATATGGGGCTAAGCTAAGACCACTAAGTAGAGATTCACGCGTCATTGGGAATATTGAAGATGTTTTTCTGGATTTTCGTTTTGTTAGTAGTTTTGAGTTTTCGAACTCTAGATTAGATCTAAATCTAGATTTAGGTCTAGATTCTAGATTAGTAATCCCCAATGCTACCCCCCAACAACTTACCAAGATTAGTAAACTTACTCAGTGACTGAGTCTGCAGTCAGACAGAGTGAGACTGTCTTGGTCTCCTAAATCAAGGCTTACAAGGCAAGGCTTAAATTGACAAGTTCAGAAAGAATTTCGTAATGAGCATGAGCGACCACTATGAAATAGATAACAGTATAGTATAGAGAGGGTTAGGGTGTCAGGCAAGGATTAGGATTTGTTGGGTCTGGGTAGGTTGGGTGGTCGCTTGTTTGACGGTGGAAGTCATTGCCCAAGTGTTATCTTATCTAGTCTGTTCTTACCATAAAATCTAGGCCTCTTTGACAAAAGAGAATCAAATCGACAGTTTTAGAAGGTATGTTTGATCATTCAGATGTCATAGTGGCTCGCAAATTATAGAATGGCTATCCAGCCTCCTATCCTGCTGTGGCCTCACTATTTCACTGGTGTTGCAACAGTTTTAGTTTTGGCTTTGGGATTGCAACAGCAGTTTTCATTTTTTATCAGAAGAATCATTCTTCTTGGCCTGATTTAGGCTTTGGTGTTTTAATTAGCAGGGGGTAGTGTCTACGTTAATGACTTTGTTTATGACTTGATGAATATGATCATGCATGACTGTACATTGATGTATTTGATGTGCGATGTGTCCCATCGTTTATGTTCTTGATTTGAGACTGAATTATGTGCTGATGTTGTCTTGATTGTTGGGTAGGAGTTCAGCAGAGGTCCGACACTTTACCGTGACAAAGTAGCAATGCCCACGGAGAGCATTTTGTTTTGCCGATTTTTGGCCCCCGCTGCGGGGGTGTTTCTCGGGACAAACTAACGCAAAGGTTGTTGTCTTCAACTCGCTCTCACGCCGCTTCTCGTTAATGGATATGAATGAAACTTGGCAGCCAATCAGAAAAGAGGTCAATCTCGTAGTTTGCAGTTTGACAACTTTGTACCCATCCAAGAAGCAGTCGAAAACGTTTGCGAAAGTGGTTGATGTGGTGCGCTTTATAGATTTTTCAGAGCTGTGATTTGTCAAACTGACTGATACCACGTTGTACTTCATTTTTCTTTATATTCCCTTAAAATTTCATGCTTCTGTGTGTAGCGGTTTTGGCGTAATCTTTAAAAATGTGGGAATAACTAAGGGAAAAGCGGCATTGCCATTTACGAATGCTGGGTGAACGACCGGCGGCTGAGAAATTTCCACTGAGTGACGTCATCAGCCATCGGTCGGCTCGGGTGCTACGAACGGGACTCTGCTTGTGTGAACCGGAAAGGGGGGGAAGGATACTTGAAAACTAAACGGGGGCCTTGATAACTTGCATTTGTGTTGCATTTTAGTCACAATATGATAGATGTAGCATTTTTATTGCTTGATTGCATGATTGAAGAATAGAAACAGAAAAGCAAACATCTAAGAAGTGGTATGACATCGTGTTTGCGTTATGAACGCCTACTCCCCCCTCTTGGGAAAGCACACACTTGGACTCGTCCTGTGTGCTCTGTTTGGAAAAGTGAGGCACTAAGATTGTCTTTAAAGAGTGTGGTACTTATTTAGTCCTGTCTGGGAGTCATTCATTGTTATCGTTCTCGCGTGCGTGAGTGCACGCGCGTGCATGTGTGTGTGTGTGTGTGAGAGAGAGAGAGAGAGAGAGAGAGGGAGGGAGGGGGGTAAATATCTGTTACATTTATTGTAGCCTACACATGCGAAATATTCCCAGGACTTGTAGACTATAATTAAAATATTATCTAAACGCATCTTAATCTACCACACAAGAGGACACTGTCCAACAATGGATATACACAGAGACGATCTTATTTTCTATTACAAAGTGTGCATGCTTTTACTAGTAGAGAATTGGATTTAATAAATCCAGCTTTGTACTTAAATTTTTGTGACAAATTGATCCAGTGCATTGCTTAGCAAGGAGGAATCTTTTACGTTGCGAAGTTTCATTCAATTATCATGACTTTGGGAGAAGATATGATTGATAATCTTTCTTGTAAATGTGTAAAGAGTGCCACTTTTATTTACCTGTAAATGTCTTTACAACTCAAAAAGTAGGATAGATATTAAAAATCTGACAGCATGACTAGATTCTGCATTAAAAACAGGACTAGACTGCCAAGTTTCATGTCTCAAAACACACCGAAAACCGCCACGTTTTTACCTCTATAAACGTATTCATAACTCAAAAAGTAGGATAGCTATGAGAAATCTGAAAGCAGGACTAGATTCTGCTCTAGCAAATTTTATGTACTGGGCTGCCAAGTTTGATTTAAATACTCCAAAAAATGAGTGAGATATGACGAATATTGTCTCAAAACTCACCAAAGAAAGTCCCATATTTTGGTTTTTTTTTCATTATATAAAAGTCTATAAAAAATTAATTGATTAAAAAATCCGTAACCTTTTTGTTTCTTGATGGATTTCAAAAATTCAAAAAGTTCCATTCTCTGTGGAGATGCAGCTACAAAATGCACCTATTTGCAAACACTTTCTGACAAAAAAAAGGTTTTCGTGGTCATTGCTAGACAAAGTCCATTGAGCAAACTATTCAAGAGTTAAGGTTATGGTTACGTTTAATAGTGTAGTAGGTCATCACTCTATGTTACACTATGTGTCATCATGGTGTCCTTAAGCCTTATATATGTTTAGTACTTAGAGGTTTTACGGCGCTCGCAACTGCGTAAGGTCATTGAGTGTCCAATGTGTTGTCATTTCATGTGTATGTTACAGATACGCTGATCATCGTCGTGCTGTACCTATTCGTGAATAAAAGGACTATATTTATAGCTAGACGATGAGGAGTCCTTAATTCTTTTTTAGTTTTAGGGTTAGGTGTTGTTGGTCGGCCGGCCCTCTGCGGAACTCCTTCTGATTGTTGTGAGTGGAGTTGGTGTGGGGTTTCAGGTTTCAACTGTTGTTGAGAATTTTGGGCGCTGTGATTGTGTTGATTGGTGGAGGGCAGACCTCGCGGAATGGCAGAATGAAAGCTTGTGCCAAACTCTCGCAAATAAGCAAAAAATCAGGAGACCGGAAGCCAGACACCGTTCGGAGTAATAAAGATCAACACTATTTCTCTGAACTTTCGGAGAAAAAGTCACTTCGTTATAATTTTGCTAATTCTGCGTTTACCTTTCTTCCCCAGGACGTTTTCCTTATGATTCGTCGCAAAAAATGCACAATCTTCACAGATGCCAAAGAGAGCACGCCCATGTCCGATGTGAAGAAAATCATCGATGGAATTTTGAAAGTTGCCCCTGAGAATCAAAGGCTTTTTAAAGAAGACACTGTAAGTTTTTATTGAGACTATGTTTTGCTCCATTTTCTTGTTTTCTGTTCCAGTGTGCAAGGGGATAGAGTTTACTAAGTAAATTGCATTCTCTTTATAATTTGTCATGGTCGTTGTCTGATTTGTAACTAACTGGGAGGTTGATAGTTTGTTATGAGGGTCACCAAATTGGTTTTTTTTTGGTTTTCTTTCTAATTTTTAAAAACCATATTATGTACATGGTCACTTTTAAGGACAAGTGGGCTATCCGAAAAATGTTGTTTTGAGAAAATCGAAGGTTAAGTTTTTGCCCCTTGTTCAGTTTCATTAAAATTAAAATACGAGAAGAGTTTTCTCTATACCCAAACAAATATACACACCAATGAAACCAAACTTCTCCTATAGGTAGGGCAATGCCCACTTTTGGTGTAGGTCAAGATTTCTGGAAACCCCCCGAAATCTGGGTTAGCCCGCTTGTCCTTAAAAACGACCATATATAGCGGACAGTTACAAATAATCCTGAGTACTTTGGGGTGCTCTTGTGTGGTTTGATTAGCAAGGCCAATTGGGCCTTCTGTGCGTCACGAAATTTTGGTTCCCGTTTGCGGTTGTATTTTTGGACCGGGTCGGAATGTTGACTTAACTTTCTCAAACTCGTTCTGCACTATTTCAGGACCAGTGTGAATGAAAGTCGGCAACCTATTGGAAAATAGGGCAAAATAATGATACGTAGATGTTGAAGTTTGTTCGCATATAAATAAACCTATACTATATTTTTGGTGTTGGAAACACTTTTGTATCGGGTATACCGAAAACTATAAGGAGCTTGATGTTCAACATGGAGGTGGTAAGAGATCTATCTTCCCTCTATAATGTCCTCAAATTTGAACGTTCTGTGTCAAGTAGTTGTTTAGAATTTATCATAACTGCACCACTACTACCCTCCCCCTCCCCTGTCTAAAGCCACTTCGCGCTGAGACTGGCCGTTTTCCCCTCACTCCCTCGGCAGATGTATGTGGCCTCCAAATCCCCGCATGATTATTCTGAGCCCGTTCATAGGTCACTTGAAATTGAGCAATGGAGGGCGTGCGCATCCGATTGTTATTCTCTCTGTTCCCCTGTAATATCGAAATGGGGGTATTCCGAGGCGAGCATATCTCGCCTTCGGGTGTCGCGTCTCAACGGGAAAAAGAGTTGTTTTATTTTTTTCCGGCGTTCGTAACTGCATAAGGTCATATGAGTGCGCACGACACATTTAACTTTCTCAGTTGGTAGGAAATTTGGACTTTTGCCTGGATGGCGGGCGAAGTCTACTCTTATCGATTTCAGACCACCAAGGGATCTTTATCGTGCACAGCTTGTACACGGGCCCTTGAGATCTTTCGCCCTTGTCCGAGAAGGCTAGGTGTAGATCTTACCTACCAGAAGATCAGGGGTGTGGCTGAAAGACAGCAGTAAGAAGGAGCCAAGGAGTAGCAGTAGAAAGGCTGCAGAAAGAGTCAGGAGCCCCCCCCCCCCTCCCCCCCGGGGGGGGGGGGCAAAGGAGGTGAAGGGGTAGGGGCAGAAAGAGGAGACGAAAGCAGACGACAGAACATTGTTAGAGAGCAGGAGATGAAAGGAGACTTTTAGAGAAGAAAATTTTTCGGTCGCTACTCGGATTCGAACCCGGGACCTTTGAATGAGAGGCCAACACCTTATTATTAACCTCTAAGCCACGAGAGCCCCCCAAAAAGGTTTTTAATTGTTCGGTATGCTAGATTGAATTGAATTATATTTTACGGGAGACATGGTCTAAAGTCATCAAAGAAAGCTTTGCCCTTATGTAGTCACCCTGCCACCATATTCTTAAAGATCCCATGTTGTGATATGATGCTATAAATAAAATGGTCTCATCCCGACACCCCTTTCTTGCAAAATCGTAATATGAACACAAAATTTTCATTTATAACAAAATAACTACGAAATGGTGAATAAATTTGACTGCAGAAAAGTTTTCTTCTCCCAAAAACACATCAGGTCGCCAAGTTTCTTTCTAACGCTCCAATTAATTACTGAGATGTCGTCAATTTTCTTACACAATCTGCTGTTACATGGTCCACTTTTTAGGAGTATTTCCTATGTGTGGGTCGTCCATATTTTGCTGACCTTTACGACCCCCTAACTTTTTAAATTTATGAACCGATTCTTAAAATGCAAAAGCCATACTTCTTAGAATTGAAAACTCTTTCTATAGTCTTACAGGTACCAATTACAAAAGGGCTAAAGCGAAAAATTCATTTTTCATTGGCATTGCTAGTTTGATCCTTCATTCATGCTATCACCAACATATGCAGCATGGTGAAATCAGGCGCTCATAAAAATAATGACATTGAAGAAACTGACATTTTTATGCCAGTTTGGCTATTTTTTGGAATTTCTGGTTTTTTTTTATGGCTTAACACCATTGTTGTCAAATGAAAAAAACTTTTCTGGGTGGATTTTACTGAAAAATGTATAATATTAAAGGTATAAATAATGTAAGTTTCCAGTCTATGCAAGATGGAAGGGTATTTTTTTTCATGAAAAACAAGAAGCTTTAATTTTTAAGTTTTTTATACCAATAACTCCAAAATGTCGCAAAAATGATGAGCGCCTGATTCCACCGTGTCTTGAAAAATATGTGTTTCTGTTTTAAGAAAATATGTGTCTGTATAAGAAATCCAAGCGTGTAAATTCACAGCCCATGTCAGACGACCACAAGACGCTGGCAGACTACGGCTACACCAGCACCGTGGCCAGAGCTCAGGCACCCGCCACCATCGGCCTTGTTTTTCGCCAGGACGGTCAGTTGCTGTTGGCTATCTGGGGGGGATGTCTGTTTGAGTACGGTTATGCAGCGCTCGCAATTGCGTAAACGGTCATATGAGCGCCAAGGGGTAGATGTCAGCAGAGAAGTCCAAACGGAAATCGGACTTACTCTGCTCACCTCTCTAGCCTCAGCAACACAAATTTTTGTCTCTGAGGGGGTGCAGACCTGCCAAATAATGTGATAAAATGGGAGCTCTTCATGTTTGTCATTAATTTCTATTTATTTATTAGTTTTGTCATTAATTTCTATTGATTTATTAGTTTTGTCATTAATTTCTATTGATTTATTTGTTTTCTTCTTACTGAACAGAAGAACGCTGATTGGATTTGCGCAAAATCGGAAACTTTTTAAAACCATTTCAATTGGCTGTAGTGGTCTAATAATTGTGAATAACATGAAAATATACAGGTTTATTTGCAATAATTTTGTTAGTTCACGTAAGTGATGCAAAAGTACACACATTGTTATCTGTGTGGATTTGCAATACGCCTATTTATTTGCCGGTTTCGTAATGTAATCTGAATCAACTGGGTTGTTGGAGACTCCAACTCACCCCCCTCCCCACAAACTCTGATTTTAGGGAGGATTGAGGCAAACTATTAATTTAGGCCGTGGGGTTGTTGGCAGGTAAGCGGATGGTGGGCTTCAGCTCTCATCCTATTTAATTTGTCTTATGATTTTAAAAGAGAGGTCAGTTGGAGCCGTTAAGCGCTTTGCTGTCGCATGCAGGAGACCCCAAGTTTGGTCATAAGGCTGTACCCGTGTCTCTTTCTGTTGCTTTTCTATCTTGAAACACGTAAGACTGTCAAAAAATGTGGGTTTAGAGTTATTGTTATACGCAGAAAAAACTTTGGTTTAGTGTTATCTTTTATTGTTATATATAGAAAAACCTAGGTTTAGTACTAAACTATTGTCTTGTGTAGAAAAATGTTGGGTTAGTGTTATTACTGTTATTGTCACATAGAAAATCCTGGGTTTGGTCTTATTGCTTTGTGTAGAAAAACTTTGGTTTCATGTTATGGACTAATTCGACTTCTAATGAAGAAAAACGTGTACGTTTGAAGTTTGAGATTTAATATGAAGATGTTGGTTTGATGTTGATTTGATGCGCGCCGTTGTGTCTGTCGGCAGATGGCGAGTGGGAGAGTCTGGACATCCATCCCCTGTCCAGCCCACCGGAGCTGCCAGACGTGATGAAACCACAGGATGCCAATCAGGCACACCAGCAGGAGGCCAACGCCGTGTAAGAATTCTCTGGCTGACTTTCTGTCAGCGCTCTGCATCTGCCCGTCGTCACCACCACCACCACCACCACCACCACCGTTGCTGACTTGCAAGAACACCGAACACCGTAGGACACTTTGTCGCAGGACTGAATATAACAGACAGGGGGAAATGATTTTTTTAAAGATATATCAGAAAAACTTTTTGATTGTGCCATTATTTGATTTTTTTTTTTTTTTCTTCTTTTTTCTAGAGCGTTTGAATGAAAGTGTAGATGTGTTTGCTGTCTGATATTTAAGATCTCGGTGCATGGAGGTTGTTGCTAAGTTAGTGAGATGCGAGCAGTGATCTCATGGCAATTTCGAGCTGTCTCTGTGGTTTTTTCACGCTTAGTAGGAGCTTGGTTTTTTTTCTTTCCCTCGCGGGGCGTTTCACTTTGATGTGGCTTCAAACTCCAGTTGTTGCAACACGCTCCCCCTGTCTGTGAATCACTTTTCTTCGGTTTTTAAAATTATGAATTGAGATTTTTGAATATGGTGACGAGAACATCTATCTGATGGCGTGCATGAACAGATCTATAAATATATATATCCTATAGGCTAGGGTTACCTCGCGTCATTCGTTGTCAGGCTGAGTCGGGGTCTATTGTGTACCCTGGCATTTTCCACCACACGCTCCTCTTTTCTTTCTTTTTTTTTTTTTCGTCTGTACACATGTGAAGCATATCTTAGAAAAAAACCCAACCGCAACAAAACTTTTGTTTATTATTATAAAAAATTTTCTCCCCCCTCCCCCCCCTTATTCTGTCTTTGCTACTCTGCTGTTAGTTGACTATTAATCATGTTAGTTCACTATTAATCATTTTCAGAAAATGCTTGATGGTTAGGGCAGGTTCATACAATAATCACTCACAACAACATAGTTTTTGTTCCTTTCTGTTACCTTTGATGTATCTGAGATTTCTGAGGGGGGGGTTAGGTACTGTGTCTACGAGATAATTGTTTTAATTCTCAGAGGTGCCGAATTTCCGGATAAATCCAGAAACCCGAATACCTGAAATTGTCCGGAATTTGCCGGGGGGCTTCGGGATGATTGTCGAAGAGTTGTTACTTCCACACTTTGTATAAACACATATAGTCTTGTACAAGTTGTAGTAGACAGAGGGATCTGTGAATTTTGAGTCCCTTTCACGTTTCCACGGTGTCTGGAAAGTTAAGACCTTATTTATTTTTTTTCCTTAGCCTGTAGGGACCTCAGATTTCATTCAGGCCTTTTGCGTGTTTATTTTGTTGTTGTAAGTGTTGTGGAGTGGAAGGGGACTGATTTTTCTAAAATTATGTTTTTTAAAAGCAAATTTCTAAATAAATATTATATTTTGATGTGTGTGTGTGTATGTTTAGTCTTGTCAGGGTAATAAGTCTACTTGTGTTTAGCTCAATGTGATAGCGTGTTGTTGGAAGTGTGTAATAGATCTGTCTATCTACCTACCTACCTTCCTTCCTATCATCATCTCATCAAGTGTCTGTGTGCCGCCCCCCCACCCCCCACCCCTTTATGTGTTGCTGTTTGGATGGAGGGCCTGCTTAGATTGGCTGATCTTTCACACTACTGAGGGTTTTGCGCTTAACTTTCTTGACTGACAGGTTTTTGTATGGGGTGGGGTGGGGTCGGGTTTGGTAATTTGTACCCAATTGCTACTGTTCTTGAGATGGAGCACCGTGTGTTGTTTTTTTTTTTCTTTTTTACATCTGTATTTGTCCATTTCGGGTCAGCTGTGTTGTTGTATATTTCACAATGTAGTATTTTTTTTTAATCTTCTAAGGAAGATTGGTCTGCACCCATTTTTTAAATTAATTTTTTTTGTTCTGGTATTTTCAGCTAAATTGGTCCTCGGGGCTATCTGTTTATTTGTGTTTCTGAGTAGGTGTATGTGGAGTTGTGCCGTGGACATAACTCACGGGGGTCGGTCCGTAAGTAGTTTCTGCGATATTTCTCACCAGAATAAATCATGTAAGCAAAGCTCTTTTTTAAAAAATCTTTCCTTACAATAAAGGCGCTTCGTGACTCCCGACTTTTATGTGACACGTCTAAATATAGCCCGGTGGTGCAACTTGTAACACATTAGTCTTCGGCACTTATATGACCTTATGTGTTGCAAGTGCCATAAAACTTCCTAAAATTTTAAAAACCTATCTGGTTACATTTATTTTCAATATGATAAATATGATATAAATTTCCAAAGTGGGAACGATTTTTTCATGGGTATCCCCCCCCCCACCCCACCCCACCCCGTAGCTGGTTGTTGTCCCTGGCCACATTGTAAATCCTCCCGAATCAAAAAATGCTGAGGGAAATATGATTCATATTTTGCATTTTTTTTATAGTCCTTTAAATGTTTTTTTTTTTTTTTTTTCCCCCTTCCATGTCATTTGGTGTGTTAGTAAGCAGGTTGTGTGGGGGGCCCTCTCGTTTTGTTTTAGAAAGTTTTTTTGTTTTTTTTTCGTTCTTCTTTTGGATGTGTCATTGTCTTGTTAGTTGGGTTTTTTTTTTTTTCTTTTTCGTTTTTTTTTTCTCTTATTAATCTTTGTGTGTGCATATATTTATGTATGGCTGTGTGTGTGTGTGTGTGTGAAAGAGTCGTTCGAACGAGGAGGGTGGGTTGCTATATTTAAAATCAGCAATGGTCTTTTCTGAGAAAAGTTGGTGAGATGGCTCCTCTTGGCTTTGCTGTCTTTGAGTCCCCCCCTTCCCACTGTAACGTACGTGTGTGTACGTGTGTGTGTGTGTGTCTGAGACTGCTTTATGTGAGTGTTGTGTCATTAAGCATAAATAGTTGTTTAGTGTGTGTGTGTGTGCGTGCAGAGAGAGGGTGAGTGTGGGTGAGTGAATGAGATTTATTTTTTCCTGTCCTTTGTTGAAGTAATAAATGAAAGAATGATTTAACAATATCTGCACTTTGGTACTTTTTTTTTTTCGTTGTGTGTTTTTTATGACTAGATTTCATTTGTGTTGTGTATGTCGTAATGGAGTTTTTCTTTTCTCCTTCTCACTTCATCTAAAGGGGTGGGTGGTTGGCGGGTGCAAACATTTCTTCATCAATGTCCCTTCCGTGGGTGGTTGGCGGGTGCTCTGGTGTGGTTTGCTCCTTCTTTCCTATCAAACATCTATCGTCCTTATTCCTTATCTCCCCCTTCTTCTTGTTTATATTTGTTACTCTCTTGTAACACCTCTTATCTTCTGGCGCTCATATGACCTTATGCAGTTGCGAGCGAGGTAGAACCTTTACTAAAACTACTAATGTCCCTTCCTGAGTGCCCAGAGAGCATAGCTGAGTTCGTTCTTCCTTCATGGAAGCAAGCTCGGATTTTTCTTTACGTTGTTGAGCTTTTTCACTGAAAAGAGGCAATCTATTCGGGTGAAAGATGGAGGTCCATGGGGATGTGCTGGATGAAACCCTTTCTGAAAAGGTCTGCTTGTCTTTTCCAATTTTTTTGATGTTTCTCACAGAGCTATCATCTCTTTTCCTGACTGGCTAAAATAATTCCTATTTTTATTTATTGACTTAGAAGAAATTCAATGTTTGTACATTTTTGTGGGGCATGGCGTTGAAATCAGGCACTCGTCAAAGTAAGGAAACTGATGACGCCGGGATTTTTCCCTCTGGTTAGCCAATTGATTTGGCTGAAGAATAAATTTTTTTATTGAAAATCGATATAATATACCTTTATTGCTCTATAAAAGAAATCAAATGAGGTAGAGCTTGATGAAGCCCTCGTGGGACGCTCACTGTGAACAACAATCAGGAAACGACAAATGCAGTTTTTGGGACACCTGAATAGACATAAGGGTCTTGAACATCTAGCTCTCACTGGCAAAATTGAAGGCAAACGGGGCAGGGGTAGGCCCAGAGCAACATACTTAGGGAACCTAAACGAATGGGTATCACTATCAGTATCAGGGATACGTAGCTTTTTAAAGAGCATTCGAGCAAAGGAATGAATGGAGGACCATGATCACCGATGTCTGTCGCAGATCTGGTGCTGGATGATGATTGCCCTTATCTCTGAGCAAATGTGAAGTGTGCTGACAAAATGAGTTACTTCTCGCAATCCACAAATGGAGATATTGGCCAAAAAAACCAATCAACACTAGGGCCAAATTTGTAGAATTTCTATTGATGCCATATTATTCTTTAAGTGTAACATGACTGTTATTATTTCATACTTATGTATTTTTCAAAACTTATAGCGTGATGTATCTATTTCCATATGGCTCAAATCCAAGAAGTAACTCGTTTTGTCAGCACGTTTCACAAATGCGTCTTATGTGGTACCTGTCACCAGGCACACACACAAATCGTCCCTATCTGTCCCCGTGGTATTATGCACCCCGCATAATTTAACAAAATTTGATCATTTTTTGCATAATTTCTGATTATTTTCAATTATCCTTCTTTGTTCAAATTAACAGAGTCGCATAATTTCACATTTTTGGGATCAGTTTGCATAATTTCAAAATTTTTCTTGCATAAAACAAGGGGGACAGCCTTATCTCCCCTTCTCATCATTGTATGTTACTCTCTAGTAACACCTCATATCTCCCACAGTTAAATGACCTATTTGTGTTACAAGTGGGGTAAAATTCTTGTTAAAACTAAACTATCCAAAAACCATTATGGTACATGTAACACATTAATAACTAATGACATGGGTGGTTGGCGGGTGCTCTGGTGTGGTTTGCTTCTTCCTTTATATCAAACATTTATCATCCTGATCTCTCCTGCTTCTTTTTTGTGTTTGTTACTTTCTTGTAACACCTCTAATATTCAGCACTTAGATCTATTCCTTACTGTGTTGCAAGTTCCGTAAAACGCTTACTAAAACTAAACTCTCCTCCTCCTTTTTGTGTTCGTTACTCTCTTGTAACACACCTAATCTTCGGCACTTATAGTAGTTATATGACCTTATTGTGTTGTAAGTGCCGTAAAACGCTTAGTCTGACTAAAACTAAAAAAAACACTACACATGGCACATTTTCCCTCAGTTGTTCACTCTCATTTATAACAGAACGTTCTCCTTCACTTTTCCAGTAAGTTAGTTTAGTTTTAAAAAGAGTTTTACGGCACTTACAACACAATAAGGTCACATAAGTGCCGAAGAAAAGAGGTGTTACAAGAGAGTAACCAACGCTAAAAAGGAGGAGAAGAAGGCCAATAGATGTTTGATAGGAGAGAAGGAACAAACCACCACACCATAGCACCCGCCAACCACCCACTTCCAGTAGTTGGACGTTGCTTCTCAGCAATTATCTCAGACCTGCTCTCTTACTGAAAATAAAACAAAACAAAACAAAAACAACCTGTGCCTCCTGCTATTTTGTAGGCCTGATACTGAGTTGCTTTACTTCTGATCCCAAGTCAGGTGTCTTGGTTTTGTTTCCATTTTCTATGTGTATGGAAATGAGTTAGAAAATAATGAGGAATATTTGGGATAGGCCAGAATATAATAATATTGGAGATGGGCTAAAAAGTACTTTCAAATTTGGAGGATCAGCTAGAAAATTCTGGAAATGATCTAAAAATGAGGAAAACTGGGGGTGAGCTAGAAAATACCGGGGATGTGCTCGCTAGATAATATTAGGGTTGAAAGAGAAATACTGGAGATGACCTACACAATAATGGGGATTTAGTTAGATAATACAGGGGATCAGCTAGAAAATACTTGGAATCAGCTAGAAATTATTATGGCTGAGAAAAAAAATGAATATGAGATAGAAAAGTCTGTGGAATATTGGGGATGAGCTAGAAAATATTAGTATTAGGGATGTTCTACCAAATATTGGGGATGTGATTTGAAAAAATATATTGGGGATGAGCTAGAAGATATTAAAATTTAGGATCTAAAAATATTGGGAATGAGATTTTTTAAAAATATTGTGGACAAGTTAGAAAATATTGTCGATGAGATAAAAAAAAATATTGGGGATGAGTGGATGAGATAGAAAATATTGGGGATGTGATAAAATATATTGGGGATGAGTTTGAAAATGATAGGAATGAACTAGAACATATTAGGGATGAGCTAGAAATTGTTTGGGAGGAAATAAAAAACATGGAGTCTGAGTTAGAAAATGTTGGGGACGAGATAAAAAAATGTGGGGACCATTGGAATTTTCAAAAATAGTGGGGATGAGTTCGAAAATACTGTAGTTAAGCTAGAAAATAGTGAGGATGAGCTAGAAAATAATGGGGATTAGACAGAAAATACTGAGGATGATCTAGAAAATATTAGGGTATGAGCTAGAAAATATAGTCATTGCATTGAGAAAAAAAAATTGTGATGAGATAGAAAAGTCTGGGGGAATATTGTGGATGAGATAGAAAATATTGGGGATGTGATGTTGTTGTTGTTATCGATCCAGCAACATCTGGGCTCTCGCCCTTCTGTCCAATGCCATGTAGTGATAAGTGCAGGTTTGCTGTAATGTTCCGTAGAGTGTGTTGTCGAAGTTAGGTCTCGGAGGGAGAAGGGTAGCTCTGATGTCATTTAGGGCTGTACAGTGGAAAAGGTGATGTTCCACTGTCTCATATGCATAGTCACACAAAGGACACATTGGGGGAAGTTCTGGTTTTATTCTGTTCAAGTGAAAGTTGAGCTGTATATGTTCTGTTCGTAGGCGGAAGATCGTGGTCTGTTTCTTTCTCTGAAGGTGGTTGATATTGTCATTTCGTTTTGTTGTAGTCATATGTTTGAAAACTGCTCTGCCTGTCTTTCCCAAGGCCCATCTGTTCATCCAATCTTGTTTGCTGTTGCTTTTAATTATTTGTTTTGCAGTGTGGTATGAAGTTGGAATGTTGGGTTGTTCCTGTCTAGATCCCCTTTTGGCGAGTGTGTCTGCTCTGTCATTTCCAGGTATGTCTGAGTGTCCGGGAATCCACTGCATCACCAGGTTGACGCCACAGAATGTTTTCAGATGATGGGAGCCAAACAGCATATGTGTCAAGTCTTCGTTTAAATGGTGATCATTTTCTATTGCTTGCAAGACTGATAGTGAGTCAATGAAGATCACTATACTCTGGGTTTTGTTTGGATGAGTGTCAAAAACTGTGCGGAGATGGTATAGTGCTGTTTCAATTGCTATCATTTCTGCGTCGTAGTTGTTGCATTTCTCTCCACAGGCTGCAGAGATCTCATTGGAACTTCCATCTGGGTACTGTATTAGTATTCCATATCCGGCTTTGGTTGTGCCTTTGAATGCTGAGCCGTCTGTATTTGGGGATGTGATGGAATATATTGGAGATGATGGTAATGAACTATAAAATATTAAGGATGAGCTAGAAAATATTTGGGATGAAGTGAAAAACATTGGACCTGAGCTAAAAAAATGTTGGGGACAAGATAAAAAAGTGTGAATTTTCAAAAATAGTGGGGATAAGTCAGAAAACATTGGGGATGAGCTTGACAATATTGTGGTTAATCTAGAATATAGTGGGGATGAGCTAGAAAATACTGGGGATTAGACAGAAAATACTGGGGATTAGACAGAAAATACTGGGGATTAGACAGAAAATACTGGGGATGATCTAAAAAATATTAGGGTTGAGCTAGAAAATACTGGGGATTAGACAGAAAATACTGGGGATGATCTAAAAAATATTAGAGTTGAGCTAGAAAATACTGGGGATGAGCTAAAACTTATTGGAGAATGCTAAAAAATACCGTGGGCGAGCTAGAAAAATATTGTCCATGAGATTTTAAAATTAATTTTTTTTTAAAGAATTGGTGATCAGATAGTAAAATCTGGGGAATATTGGAGGTGGGTTAGGAATTAATATTGAGGTCGAACTACAAAATATTGGGGGTGGGTGAGGAATTAATATTGAGGATGAGCTACAAAATAATAATATATTGGGGATGAGGTAAAAACAAAAAATGGGGATGATGTCAAA